TATACTAAGGAGGCATAGTTATTAGTAGTTGTTTGTGAGGTATGTTTGGTTTTAGATCCTCTTATATTGGGTTGAGGCAAAGACATGTTCAGACTAATGAAGTGTATTGTTATGCGCGAGAAATTACATGAGCTCCAGTAGATTATGCGCAATTGAATGATCCAAGTTTGGGCGCAATCCCCTAAATTTTGTAGTGAACATTCTAGCATGTGCCTGTAAGAGAAATAAAAAGGCATTAGCATTACATATGATTGTAAATCCTTATAATTACACATTGTGAGAGCAAGCTGATGAGTTTCACATGCATTATAAAGGAGAAACCAGCATACAACATGAAGAACAAGCCTAGCTAGTGAACATCTCTTTCTTTGTTTTATATTACACCAAATCTATCGGAGACTGTTATTAGTTCTGATCTTGCACGATGGCTAGGCTTGTTCTTCATGTTGTATCTTTCATCAACATGAAGAACAAGCCTAATAATGATCTAACAATGTTAATCATATCTAATTACAATTGTTTATGATTGATTGCTTGAAATTACTAGATACTATGTTCGTATGTGCTAATTGAAATTTTAAAGCATATATTCAAGTGGCATAATCTTGCAATGAATATAATCTCATTTTTATCTTTTTACTAAATTTATGCAGGAAAATTGATGGTGGCTAAAACAGGTTAATTTGTGCGTGCTTTTCACTTACTCTGAGATTAGCTCTATCCTGACAATTTGCAAATTATGTATACCAATGGAGACCTTTTAGTTAAACAGAAGACACTTTTTATTTTAGTGAAAGAGGAAATTTAGTCATGTATTTTGGACAAAAGAAAAAACTTGTACTAAAGTCATTGTAATGAACTAATGAATTGTTCCTTATGTTTGTTTGTTTGCTTGTAAAATTTGGAGTTTAATTTCTTTGTTTGTGACATGAGCAGGTATAAATCATGGAGTTTTCGTTTTGTTTTGTATTTTTTTTTATTTTGAAACCGCAGGTCAAAAAATGTGTGATATATCTGGATTATTTGTTTTTGCACGGTCAAAATGGAAAACCGTCACCTTTGCTATATATACCCATTCTCATATCATTATATCTGAAAACCGTCCCCATTGCTAAAAATCATCCCTATTTCTAACCGTCCCCTTTGATGTAAAAACTGTCCCCATAGATCAAAAACAAAACCGTTCCCATAGAAAATAAAACTATCCTCCTAGATTAAACTCGAAACCGTCCCCCTTGGTGCGAAAGCGTCACGGTAGCTTAAAAATATAACTGTTCTCGTTGCTAAATAAACGTCACCATCTGAAAAAATAAGAACCGTCCCCATAGTTAAACCGTCCCCAAATGTTGTCTACAAGAACATTTCAAGAACCGCGCCACTTGGATCATGAACCGTCCCCTTAGACCAAAGACTACGGCAGCAAATGTATCAGATGCGTAACCGTCCCCTTAGGCCTATGAGAACGGTTTTATTGTCTAGCGGGACGGTTATAAAACCGTCCCCGTAGACCCGATATTTGGTAGTGCATCATCTTTACTCAAAAGAATAAATAAATAAATAAATATATATATATATATATATATATATATATATATATATATATATACATATATATATACATATATATATATATATATATATATATATATATATACATATATATACGAGAGAGAGAGAGCTATACATTATTTGATATCTAAGTCCGCTGCTCATATTGAAGGACTTTTCATTCAATGGATAGAAACTTTGGCTGGATTATTCACTTTAATGTGACATAAGTTTCTCTCTCTCTCTCTCCTCTCTCTCTATATATATATTATATATATATTATATTATATATATATATAAGAAATATCGAGTATGCTTTGCGTACCAACGCACAAAAGTTGTGCTTGTAGTGAGGTGTCAATCCTCCCTCCACTCATTGCAAATATAAGAAAACAATTCACATGGGTAGTGAGTGGATGGTGGATTTTGAACGATCACTCGCTAAGACAAAATTTATGTTTTGGTACGAAGGCATACCCACTATTTTCTAATATATATATATATGATATTATAATAATATATTATATATATATATATATATATATATATATATATTATATATATAGAAATATGGGTATGCTTGGTACAGAACACAAATTTTGTGCCTTGGTAGTCGATGGTGTCACATCTCCATGCACACTGCTTACCCATTGTGAATGGGGTCCACATTGTGAAATGAGTGGAGGAGATGTGCACCTCACTGATCAATCACAACTTTTTGTGGCTTGCGTACCAGCATACCATATTTCTTCCTCCTTTCTCTCATCTCTCTCTCTCTACTCTTCTCTCTCTCTCTCTCTCTATATTATATATATATATATATATATATATATATATATATATATATATATAATATAATATATATTATTATATATATATTATATAATATAGTTATATATGTGTGTGGTTGTGTGGGGGGGGGGTGGGGGGGGGGCTAAATTACCAAATTGTATTTTTATTCGACGCTCTTTACCAGTTTGTTATTTAAAAAATTCAGAGGCAATAAGCTATTTTTTATCACTCATATTTACCGGTAAACACTTTCTCTAAATTCCGGCAAGAAATTGTGTTTGACACCTTACTTCCAAACATTATTAAATATATGTCCAAAATTATCAAAAAATACATCCTCTCCCTCTCCTTCCTCCTCCTCCTCCTCCTCCTCCCCATTTCCCTCTCCTCCCCTCCTCGCCTCCCCTTCCTCCTCCAACTTCTGCTCCTCCTTCTCTTCCCTCCGACCTTCTCCCCGTTCAAAAAAATGCATCCCCACCCTCACCTACTCGTCGTTCGTCGTCCTCCTCCTCCTCCTCCTCTCCCATTACCCTCTCCTCCCCTCCTCCGCCTCCCCTTCCCCCTCCAACTCCATCCCTCTCCCATTCTCCTCTCCTCCTCCTTCGCCACTCACATCCCCACCACGATCACCACCTTCCCCGAGCAATCTATCATCACCTCCTCCTCATCCTGCCCCTCCCTCTCCTTCCCCTCCGACCTCCTCCCCTCCCTCTCCTCCCTCTTCTCCTCCTGCTGGAATTTTCAAGAAAAAGGGTGTGAATTTAATAATTTTGAGAGGTTAGGGAGGTAGAATAAATTTTCCTGCCAGGATTTCAAGGAACATGTTCTTATTAGTAAGCAGGGCCTTAATAAAATACCTTGTTGTCGCTGGGTTTTTTTAATATACCAAACTAGTAAAGATGGTCAAATAAAAATACCAATTTGGTAATTTAGCCTATGTGTGTGTGTGTGTGTGTGTGTGTATAATACTTTGTATTCTTTATTTTAGGTTTAAAGATAGACAAACTTTGACACCAATATTGATTAGTATAAAACACAAGATGCTGGTATAAGTAATGACTGTATAATTAGGGGTGAACCTAGATTAGTGCCAAGGGGCCTTGGCCCCACCTTTGCCAATCAAAGAAGGGGTATGATGGCAAGGCAGCTACTAAGGAGAGAAATATTCATGATATTCAAAGTGAAGACTTAACAAGGGTTTTTCATTACAAAATCCCTACTCATCTTGTTCAATACTTGAGTTGACTCATGTTTGTAGTTTCTGAATTTGCTTCATATTGGAACATCTTGTCATTTGTTTTCCTCGGGTATGCCTGAGACTATTTTTCTGAACTTATATTCCAGTGGTAACGGAGTTTTTCAATTGGGGAATTAGTTGCAAGATGATGCGGGCTAAAGTTGCACTAAAAATGAAAAGTTATAAAATAATATACATCTCATATGTAGCTACTCATTATGATTTTTTTGATATTTAAGAAATTGATAAACTTGCTAAGAAGTTGGTTAAATGGAATATTGATACTTAATATCCTTTGATGTACAAGTTGGTGAAGTTAGCACTAATCTTGCTCATTGCAACGATAAGTGTTGAAAGAACATTTTTCACGATAAAAATTATTAAGAACGACCTTAAAATAGAATGAGAGATGAGTACATGAATGATTATTTGGTGCCTATATTGAAAAAGGTATGTTTTATAATATTAATGAGGAAGATGTCATGCAAATATTTCAAGAAATGAAGGCTGAAAGAATATTGTTGTAAACACTATGTTCTAATTTGAAAATCGATGTTGAAAGTCCTGTTATGTGATGTTTAGATAGTGATGAAATAATAATTTTCTTTATTTATTATCATCTTTAACTATTAATATTTTGCCCCCACCCCCCAACCCCCAGAACATTCTCGTAATTTCTAGGCTTGTTATTGACTATATTGTTATGGGAAACCCTTCGCCCATCTGCAACAGAAAGATCTCGGTAAAAAGTCATAGATGATTTATATACTTCAGAAGATAAATGCAGTGTATTTTTTATTTTTATTTTTTCAAATATTTATGAATTTAGGGTATGTAATAGATTAAAAGGATAGGTGCAAGATCATACAAAATAATCATCGTAATCAGTGTCTTCCAAAATAATTGAAGAGTTACCACAATTTAACTTTAAGATTTATCGAAAATAAGAAAACTCCTCTAATAACTATTATTGCAATTTTTCACATGGATGGCTAAAATTAAGCAGGGGAATTTTATTTCCAGTTAAAACTGCGGTTCACACTGGAATTTTGTGATAAAATCTTAAAATTATTGGGGTTTTCTGAATAACCTCTAAGTTTAAGGGGGTTTTCTGATATCTTAAAGGTGGTGAGATGTTATGCGATACTCTTCCAAACTCAAGGGGTGTTTCTGATATTTAGCCATTTTCCGGGGTGGTAGACTTCCGGTCCAATCCCGTTCCTACGATCCTTTCTTTCTTCTCCGTCACAATTTCCCTCATTTTTTTCTATTGCTTCCTTCACTTCAAAGTTTTTTCCTGTCCAAAAGATAAAGGAAAAAATATGAACAACTCCCCAGCTTTCTCAACAACAATCTCCATCGCGTTCGGTGAGTCCGCCATCAGAATGCGATCTCTCCTCTCCCCATCCGTTGGCAGGTCAGTTCCCAATCTCTCTCTTCAATCTTACTCAATTCTTAGCTTCAACAACAATGAACCCTAAAAGAAATCAAACCCAAAACTTAGAAAACATCACCCTACCTGAATCTAATATCTTAATACCAAAAGCACCTGTACAAAATCGGAAAATCTCCCAATTTGGATTCATGGGTCTTCTCAAAAAGGAATAAATAAGGACTACCCAGATGGGTTTCTTAGTACGATGAATGCTAAGGGTTATATGGGCAAAAAGGGTTTCCAGGGTAAGGAATTTAAGCCTAATGTGGGTCATGGGATGAGAAATGATGCTGCCCATTTAGCGGCATCGAAGGCCGCGGCATCGAAGGCCGCGGCTTGTGGGAAGAGGAGAGCTTTGATGTGCAAGCATTTGAGGATGGTTGTTTTTGTTATTGGATTGATGGGTTCTTTCTTCTTTCTCGATTCGTTGATGCTTAGTGTTATGCATCGTATTGTTCCTCCCCGTCGTGGATCGGGGATTAGAAAGTTAAGGGGTTTACAAGTAAGAGTTCTATTTATTT